TCGTTGATAAGAAGCATCAAATCCGTCGTTACATTTTAGATCAGTTTTTATGGTGGTACGTGAATAGAAGTGTTTAAACAGGAGTACTTTTTTATTTCATATTGTAAAAAATGAACACGAAGCTTCGAAAGAATCCGGTACAATGAAGATGAAACTAAGAAAAGATATGGATTATATAAAAGACAGATGTATGAAAAGACCTCTCCAAGTATATTTTAAATCGACACAGAATGAAATAATCAGCAGCCATGTAAAAGTAAATTATGTACCTTCAGTAGTGTTTTTCTTGAAAGATGAATACTCACGAAGGATGTTGCATAGATGCACATTCTAATTCTTCGATATCAATTTAGAGAGGAACTTCTTGTCGAAATTACACACTTTATTAGTCCATGTTCACCAGAATTGTTTAACATCAATGTGTAATTTGAGCAACTATGACAGTATTATTAATAAAGAGTGATATTTTGTATCTTAAATTCTAAGTTTGATGAATTTCGTGACTGATCACTAAAAACAAGTTTAGCGTTTATTACTCTCGCGTCGTATCTCCTGTATTAATCTTTGTTGGTCGTCGAATTGAGCATAGCTCATAGCAACGATAAAAAAAAGGTGCGAATGCATTATTTATTTATTTCTTATTTTAATTCATTGAATATCTAAGAATTAAAAAAATGAACGACTTTTCAGTTTATTGAGACCCATAAGTAGTAATTCAATGGTCTATAGATAAAAATAATGACGAAAGACGTTCTTCTATGTAAATAAAGAAATGATTTGTGTATAAGCTGTAATGAAGGTCAATGTAATAAATTCATTCTTCAATGATCAATAGAAAAAAAGGATACATGGCATTATTCTAGTGTTTTTGCAAAACAGAGTTTTTACGGAGTGAAGAATATTGAACCGAGCACAACTATAGAAAAATTTTAGAACTGAATTCGAAGCTTCAGATACAAAAAAAAATATACTTAAAAATGTTCTCGTATCTAATTTCAACAACATTTTTTTATATTTCAGAAAACGATGATCTAAGCTGTACAATTTCATTTTAAACCTTCAAACTGTATTTTATTTGGTGATGCAAGATAATCAGAATCGAATGGTAGACTTTACGAAAAAAATATGATTGAAGAATACTCTGAAACAAGAATGTGAAAACAACTTCGCTTTCCGCAACAAGTATTTATTTATTGGAAAGAATTATTCTATGAAAGTATCTATTTCGTATTTAAATAAAATGTTCTCATGAAAAAATACACTGACTAATATAATATATTAATGACTTTATAGACCGTTCACAATGACTGATAAAAATCTCGAAGTAAATCATGATCAATTAGCAAGACACGATAAATGTCATCAAATAATAATGAATCATGTGTGAAGAAAGAAAAAAACATTAGTTGTTAGAAGCAACAAACGGCTGTTATGAAAAATGAAGAAATATCATCAAATAGATTGATTAACAATGGAATATCTATATCAAATAAAAGGAAGAAGAAAATTTTGGATTCAACAAAGAGTCCATTTTATATTTTTAGAGATAGAGATACACAAAAAATTTTCTTCATTTTGATGTTAGAGGACATTGCTGTACAGAGCATTCTGACTTATAAATAAAATGACAAAAGCAAATTTTACCAAGACTGAATCGCTACATGTGGAAATAAAATTATTCTTTAGGAATAAAAATTGAATTTCGTTTCACATTTTTAAATTAAAACGAAGTTGAAATGCGTTGACATGAGCGGACATCTGTCTATGACAACACAAGATAGTAATACTAAAAAGCAATAATTAATAAAAAAGCATGCTGTGCGGAACAAAGTACATATTAGTTATAATGAAGCATTTCGATTTCTAAATGACATACTTTTGACAGAAGGTACGCTCTTTCTACAGACGATGGCAAATATTCTATTCGTTCGTTGTATTTCTTTTATTTTTTGAATATTCTACTTTAAATAAATGGAGAATTATTTTTCGTAAAAGGCTTCCGATTCGAGAAGTATAAATGAAATTTTTTTTCAATACTTCAATAATATATGTGAGAATTCAATTTTTATAATGATGATTTCGGTGTATCTTATCAATGTTTATTAATTTCGTATATTTTACTGTTTTAGTTTAGAAAAAAAAACAACTTTTACAATTAGGGTAACCTGAGCGTTAATTGCCCTGAACTTTGTAAAAATAAACGTATTTCAAAATTTAAATGAAGCATCGTATATAATTATTTATTTTTCTTGTTATTTGATTGCAACTCAATGACATGCCAATGCTCTTACTAATACAAAGTGGGAGAAAAAACAAGCATAACTATCGTTGCGTTAAAAAAGAAGATACACATAGAGCAGAGAGCAAAGTATAAAATCGATAGGCAATCCTCACATATTGACAAAACAAAAATTACTAATATCATCAACATAAAAAGTAAGTAGCTATTATAGACTAATGTGCTGATAAATATACTAGCCGACTACACTATATACATTTCATAATTCTAGGCATTTCTCATAACTACCGTTGTTAGAAAATGCTCATGTATAACATTGATGTTGATAGTAGCAAATCTGTTACAAAAACCATATCTCGATCGGGGTATATGCCACTCTTCATTGATACTCTTGTCTATTTATCGCATATTTCACTTGTTTTTAGTTCCAAATTGGCATGGCCAGTTGTAGTTGCTATAATCTTGTTGTTAGTGATTCTGTTCGCTATAGCCCTTGTTATCGTTCTATCCCTAATTTCCGTGTATTTACCGTCAAAAGGCAGCGATATTAAAATAGCAAATACCGGTAAAATACACTTTAATGTTACAATGCATGATCTATCGTACTTTTCTTTTTCAAGGTACCAAAAATATCAATGTTCGCTTTGCTCTCGGTCAAGACTTCTCACAAATAAAGAAAAGTTTGAATTCCGACTCACTTGCGCAACAAGTATGTTTCTATTATTTTTCTCCTAAAGTTTACATTACCTGATCATATATTTTTTCGATGAATCGCAATCTTGGCTCTCCAACTGGTACCATCGGTATAGAATCGAGCGCACTTTCTCAGGGCAGAAAAAGACGAAAACGAAAAACTGGGTAAGTTAAAGTTCTATCGATGATATTAATTGAAACTTTTGTGTTATTCTTTTTTCTAGAGAAGATCTATCGTGCGATAGTTCTCCTAAGTTTTACATGCGTCTCTACATACGGAAATATCCGAAAAATGTGTGTATTACAGACACTTGTCATGATAATTTTATCCTTTTGATCAAGTCGAAAATTCAACTGCTATTTAGTTCCTCTTCATCAACAATCACATTACCATTCTCCGATGGAACAAGTGTTTCTACGGTGGCTCTATTCTGCTCGTTCGATACGATAACTTCACGTAAGTAACACCATCAAGATATATAATAGATTTCTGTGATCAATATCTAAGTACATAGAGTAGAAAATCAGGTAAGAAATATCCGTTTGGTTTATGAAAAAGCTATTTCTTTGATCAACATGTTCATCTCGTTCATTTATTCACAGTAAGAGAATAGTCGGAAGAATCGCTCTGACACCGACGACGCTATTTATTATTTTCACTTCGAACCATAAATCACTTGAGAAAGTATATTTTACACTAGCTCGAAATTATTATGAGAAATCATTGAAAATCATCGAGTAATACGAGGAAGATTTCATAATATATGTCACCACTAGACTATTTTGTAGCAATATCTGTCTGGAAAAGGTTTATCTCAGTACCAAAGTCGATATGCGCACCGTGGTTATTAGAATTGCTCTAGTCGTGTGAGTATTAAAATAGTGTACCAAGAGGAACTCAATTTCATCAGTCTCAATAGTTCAAAGAAGTCTTATGTAGTTTTGATACTATAGTTTTCGATACATCACTGCTCAAGAAAAAGCCGGTTTAGTGAAGATATGGTTTCGGTTTAACTGCATAGGACACCAAGGATATCGCTGCACTGTTGACATTTAGAAAAATACCTAAATTGTCTCTCTTATGTTCTACATTGCTTGGAACGTTGCAGCGAAATGTATACATGCCTGCATGATACTCATGTGAAAAATATTAGACATAAAATCTCGTCGAAATCGAAAAACTATTTACAGAAATATCGATTTTTCTTCAGGGCTCACGAAAAAAGTATCAGATTACTTTAGTCGCTTTGTATCAATAATGATCGATTTTTTCTATGAACTTTCAATTAATTATAATCGAAATTAATAGAAAGAATCGATGAAGTTTTGGTTTCTGTTTTGTTAATATTGATTGAAAATCAACTAAAAGACGCAAGAATTTTCATCGAGTCTTGATTACCTTTTCAATTCATTCTCAGTCGATGTTGATCCTAATATGTTTTACATTAGCCTCACATGGCTGTAAGTGTAAGTTGAGGTATTCTTTTCTTTTCAACGAATAGGACTACCCAATGAGATAAGTTCGTGATGTCTGAGACCATTGCCATATTCAAAAATGAGAAGAAGGTGTTGCATCCTTAAAGAAATGATAATACACTTTTTTTCCAGAAGTGATCGAATATCTACTGAAACTATTTTCAAAAAGTGAAACTTATGTCGATGTGACCTGTAGTGTTCACTTGTTCTCCGTGACAAGTGGTTCTAAAATCTTTTGAAGTTGGTAGTCTTTTAGATCCTATGGGTTCTAGCACATCCGCAAAAAGGAATATAAAATAATAGATTCGACAGTTATTATTCTTCTAAGACTCGAACTTATTTAATGCCAGAATTCCTAAAACGTTTTTCTAGTTATGTTCAATTTTTCCCGCTTAAAAATCATGTGGAAAAGCTAATGTATTTTTTGTGTGCTGTCTAAATTGTAAAAACGATTAAGTAAACTAGAATTCTCTGCATTGAACGTTGCTGAGCGTAGCATTGGCATGAGCTCCAATCACGAAATAGCATAGAATTGATTTTCACAGCTTTGATTGATGATGACGAGTGAATTGTCTATTTTTCTACATCAACGATGACTGCTGATCCGTTAAGAAGTTTGAAACTTTTGAAACAACATACTAAACACTTCAGTTTTATTTTTTTATTTCAATAAGACTTCATTAGTTTGCTATATTGGGATGAATTTCGTTTCTTATAGCAACAGAAGTGACAACAGTAGAAGTCACAACATCAACTCTAGAAGCAAAGGCAACGACAACAGCAGAATCAACGATAACAACAACAACAACAACCACAACTACAACAACACTGTTGGGTAAGAAGAGAAAAATAGAAGAAATGTTCACTATATATTTTTTAAATTTAAATGTAATTTATTCCCTAATACACTGTGTATGAGACATCTTGGAGTTACCAGATGATCTTCAGTTGCTAAACCTATTTCATGAGTGCTACAGAAATTACTTTTATGATCTGTCAAGTTTTATCAGCATTTTGCCGCTTATTGATACTAAAAGTATTTCTTCAAACTGTGTTTTACTTGTCACCACATTTGTAACAATCAAAAGTAGTTTTTTGCACGACTTTTCGCAATACTTTTGTAGAGATTATAGATTGTATATCATTTAAGAATTATGTTTTACATAACTAAGTAGATCAGTGTTTTTATCACTCGATCAATTAGATTACTAAGAATAGAATTACAATTTCGAATCGATCAGACGATTCCATTCTAACTATGATAGAAAAGAGCAAAAGGTTAGTTAACACTTAGGAAACTTTAAAATTTTCATCGTTACAATAGACGTAGGTTGCCCTCTCACGAATAAAAATTCATAATCACAGGTTAAAGTGATTTTTTGTTCGGTAACTTAAAGTATCAGTCTTTCGTAGAGTTGCGAGTGTGAATTGAAGTATGTTTGAGATGTTGGTGTCGTTTTCTGACTAAAATTGACTAACATCTAAGTTTCATCGCCATAGTCGCACTCATACTCTAAAAATTTATCGTGAAATTTTCTCTACAGCTGTAGCCATTCTCGCTGAAACTCTTTTTGTGACAATCAGAAACTAATCGAAGAGTCTACTTTCATTTGGTGCTTAAAATTATTGCTCTCTTCAAATATTACAATTAGAATTCAGAAATTCGGTTCAAACCAATTAGTCCTTTGAGGTTTATATAGTCTTCCAATGTTTCTCAAGAGAATATTTTATCGAAGAAAAAAGGTATACAAACTTGATCGACAATGTGTTGTGAAATTTTCAGTGTGAAAGTTTATCATATGATCGAGAAAAGTTAAATTGTTTCTTGAAAAAGCATTTCTTTAACAAATCGTGCATAAAAAAAGATATTGAATGTATGGTGAAATATAACACAAACGCAGTTTTGAAGTGTATTTTGTAGAAATTTGCATCTACTTCGCTCGTTCTACAGAGAGTATGACAGTTATTCTATTGAAGTGAGTAATCAATATATAATTCATAACTCATTCAATAAACTATTATCTAGTAATTCATGAAACGATAGTTGAATGATAGAGTGAGAGAAGTGAATCAACTCCTTCTACTCGAAAATCTCAAAGACACTCTTTGACGAAATGACAGACTGTACAAGCATTATCGATACTTTCTCAGAGGCCATACGTCAACAGTATGTTATTGTAAAATATGAAGTATTTGTTGATGAGCATTTTGATGAAGTAAGAAAGTTTTGTACGTAAATTTTAAATTCTCTCGGATGTTTGAGTCTCGGCAAGTGTGCCATTAAGTAACCAAACTCTGTTGATATGATAGAAGAAATATTATGCTAAATAATGACAAAAACGAAGTGAAAGTAATAGTTTTGAAATTTTTCCACTAACTATTGACATCTAGTTAAGGCATTGAAACATACACCAACCATCCAAAGAATCGATTATTATATTTTTAAAAATGAATTTATAATAGAAAGAGTGACTAGAAGAATCTTGGTAATAAAAAAGACGATACAAGAAAACTTTAAGCATAAATTCCAAGAATTTCAAATGTAGAACAGAACACAGGTGGTATTTCTACTGATTATCGAGAATCGCTGAATTCCATCTATGTTAGATTTATCTCTTCGCCATTCTTTCACTTAATGGTTTAGAAATGCAAGAAGAAAGTCACTGAGGTATTAGAAGTAGATTTCATTGATGTACGATATGTGGCCATGTGTCAGTATCTGTCACAGTCTGTGATAATCCGTACATGTGAAGGTGGTAGAATTGAAGTTCATAAGTACCTCTGCCTTTTATGATTCCACACTGCTTTTGAATCGTGTTCAATATAATGTGGTTTTATCTACATCGTACTGAATACAAAGTGTTCTAATATGGAAGGGACCAATTTAATATGTGCCGAGAGCAACTTAATTTCTTTTCGATTTGCATTGCATGTGATGAAAAGAGAGAAAAAGATAATTTAATTCAAAATCTATGCTTGTTTTTTCGCTCGAATTTTTGAAGCATTTTTCTTCAATTAGACCTGTGTGCTGCATTTTCCAGAGGAATATCCATCCCAAATATTAAGTCAATCGCTCCTGTAACTCGTACGACTTCACCAGGTATAAGCTATCACGGAGGCTATGTTATGACCAATCCAGTCGCCTATGTCATTTGGTACGGAAATTGGACTGGAGATAACGGAACAACAATTACAGAAAACTTCTTACAAGGGCTGGGCACAAGCGATTGGTGGGATATGACAACAGAATATAACAATACATCACCGATTACATTTGGTAGTTCAATAACAGATAGTTATTCTCAAGGCACATCTCTAACACAATCAACGGTATTTTCTATTGTCCAACGGGCAATCGACTCGGGAGCTTTACCAAATGACCAGAATGGAATATACTTTGTATTAACTTCTGGTGATTGTACCGAAGAAACCTTTTGTGTAAAAGCTTGTGGTTGGCATTCTTTTGACTACGATTCAGGTCTAATATATTCATGGGTGGGAAATCCTGAGCCATCATGTCCAGGCTGCTCGAATCAGCCGGTTTCACCGAATGGCAATCCGGGAGCTGATGCAATGATTACTACTATTGCTCATGAAGCAACTGAAGCAACCACTGATCCTTACATAGATGCTTGGTACGACTCAGCTTGTTCTGAAAACGCTGATAAATGTGTTGGCATGTACGGCAATATATCTAGTTTATCCAATGGCGCACAGTACAATATGGTTGTAAATGGGCTCAAGTATCTAGTTGAACAAAATTGGCGACTGTCCACTGGAAGCTGTGCTTCATCTTTGACAAGTCCATGACACTATTTCGACTATTTAATGCCTAACAGACATAAACAATTATCGATTCTTTTTTTGTTTTAATATCTATTTAATCACGACATATACAAAAATAACGGAGATATTCATCTATTCCAAGAACAGAATCATAGTTTTCTGCAGCCTTCATTGAAATAGTAAAAATTGTAACTTTTATTCATTGATGTACACTTTTACAATGCACTAATGCAGGCGTGAGAGAAAGTAAACGAAAGGGCAACACTGAAAATGAGATCCCATATGCATACTATCCGATACGTGTATCAATACTCATATAAATCGTTGAACAAGAGCTGGGTGTGAGTGTTGTTCAGACAAAGAAAAGACGCATCCACACGAGAAGCTTAATTGATTAAGCGGAAGAAATCTGAGTCTAGCCAGCCTTCTGACAGAGCTACAGTTAATAATAACTGCAGGAAAAACATCGGGTTTTTGAAAGTGTCTCCGACCACAATCCTACATTACAAGGTAGTTGAAAGGCAAGGTATTCTTCTTCTTCATGTCTACATACAAATAATAAAATAAACTACATGCATACATATGTATTCCATTTTGCTTGCTTGTTGCTCCATTTGATCTTCAGATTTGCTCATCATAGAAGAAAGTATGTCTGATGGACAACACTTAAATAGACAAATACCTAATACAACAACAAGATATACTGATAACAGTGTTTTCTGTTCGCTGGTAACACTTCATTATTAGATTTTATTTAAAAATAAGAATGATATACGAAAAGATTTGTGTAAAAACTTTGTCTACATATTTTTTCTTAAACCCATGACACTATAAGTTTTTGAGAGCTATCTGAAGAAAACAAAACATACGGTTTCCATAGAAAGAAATCTTTCTTAAATTAAAAAAGAACAGAAATAAATGAACACTGCTAGTATTGAACTAAAAGACATAATACTAGAGAGAAAGAGATTGAAAGAAGATAACAACAACTGCACCGAATCACCATTGTTCGACTACTGCTGTGACAAAAATATGACCTCATTATCATAATTGTAGAGTTCTTCTTTTAACCTCTTTCTTTCTATCCATTCTTGTCGCTATTCGTTCAGTAATATCAAATAGGATACTTGTGTCTCTGAAGAACAAATCCACTAAACAAATAAATCAACCGAGAAGTAAAATGAACTACATATATATAGTTTGCTGTATTACCTATCTATATATATGTATAGATATACAAATGGAGTTATAAAGAGACAAGATAGTTCAAAGAAAGAGAATGAAAATAAAAAGACTTTTTTTATCCATGGAAGAGTTTTATATAGGCATATCAAGAATTGTGCAGAAAACATAGATTAACCATCTATTTTATTAAGCCATGAAAAGCATATCTATCAACAGATTGGAATATGTTGGGAAAAACACAGGCTATTTTTGTCTATTATTGATATAGCAGCTTCTTGTATCTATCCTTCGTTTCTTTTAATTTATTCCGTATCATTTATCGCATCTCTTATGACATGCTGACATTGGAGAAAAGAAAGCGTAAGAGAAGAATTTCAGAGAATACAATATACAAGATTCTGTCACCGAAAAGATATGAATTGTGTTGAGAAATCGAGCTTTTATAATTAAAACATCAAGATAAATCTACATATTGATGTATGAAAGTTTCAACTTGATCATGTGATCTTTTGAAGAAATCTTTTTTTGAGACACATGCACATTAAAGAAAGAGAAAACATTTAAATTTGTAGGATATGCACTCTGTTTATCACAATTCATGAAAAAGTGATTATTTCTTAGCCGTTTGGATAAAGAAATTTTTTTTAATGATAATTTTTTTCTTATAAAAAATCTTGAAACAAATTTTATTTTTACAATAGAAGAATTTATGAACGTTTTCACATCTACACTATTGGAATTGACCTCAGCTTTTTTTTAATAAAGATAGATAGATCATTTGTATTCATAGATGATAGATATTAAATAGATTATCAACATGATATAAAGAGCGAAAATGATGAGAAGACTAAACACGAGATTGATAATGTTTCGGAAATATGAGTTCATTGTTATGGGTATGAAGATTTTGTGAAATTCTCAGTTGTTGATACGATCCTATGTGTGTATAAAGATTTCGTGACACCCCTTTTTGTCACAATGCCTGGAGAATCAAAATAGGATCTTTACAGATAGATACGAACTAATTAAATTCTAACTCTGAGAAAAACTCAACACGAATATGTCGAAAGCCTTTGAAAGGAAGGACGCTGTGCATTGAATGGGCAAAGGTGAGATAGAGCTCCCAATATCTAGATTTCATCCCGGCTAAATGGATCATCAGTTGACTTTAATCTTATATGTATATCTGTATGATTACGAGAATCAAGTACTAGATGCACATTCTACTCCACTATGACAATAAATTGTAAGAACAATCTATGACATAGTGGCAGTGACACAGTTTAATAAAAATGGTGAAATCAGACTTGGAACCGGTAGAGTTTTTTTCAACCGAACCGAACCGACCGGTAGTCAGAGAGAAACAAACGAAAAAACTACCGGTTCAACGGCAAAATTCAGCCGGCGAAAACCGATCCGTTTAATATATCAATGAACTATGTAATTTTTGCGAGAAAAGTTTGTTACTACAGTTCCACGAAGACATCCAATGTGGGACTCATATCATTCTTACGATTTCTGATAGTAACAGCTTCTATTTTTGTCTGTCACGTTCCATTTTCGCTAATATAGTATTAGCGAATATGGAACGTGGCAGAATAACGATGTGAGAAGATCACATGATAATCGCCCATTGGCAGAATTAACTGCCAACATGAATACCAATACTAGGAATCGAACCTATGAACTTGTCTATCGCCGACAATGTTCTTACCAACTGAGCTGTATCTATGAGCTGCCTAATTCGAATTCGAATATAAGTCGACCATTAACTACTTAATATCGATTGGAAAATTAAAAAAATTAGGTACCCATGCCAATTTTCGATAAAAAGGAAAAGAGAAAATTTTCCAAGCTGAAAATTCATAATTCGAACTGACAGTCACGACATACTGATAGTATTACCTGAAATGGAAGCAATATAACCCACCCTAGTAGGATTAACTGCATTACCAGTAGCGTTACATCCGATGCCAAAAACATCACCTGCGATGCTAATCGCATCACCTGAGCTGAGTGCAATATCAATTCATATGATAGAAGCATTAGCTCAGATGAGAGTGGCATCACCTGTGATACTAGTAGTCATGCCCGTCAGAATAGTAGCATCACCTGGAATGCCATTCCTTTGATGAGCTGGTAGCATCAGCTGGATTGATTGATACTTTATAAATACAAGCATCAAGCGAGTAGCGCTTCTGTCAGCACAAAAACCTTTTATTTCAGCGTCGCGGCGAGGTGGCGCGTATCGCTCCCATCAGAGCCGCGACTCATGGGCGTCCATGTATACACAGTGATCCCCACTATTCATTAATGAATACATATATCAAGCGAGTAGCACTTCTGCTCGCGCAGGAACCATTTCTTTTGGCGTCAGGGCGAGGGTGTGGGTGCAGCTGTGTAGATGACAAGAACCTTATACTAACACCCACACCCACACACCCTATGTATATATCATTCCTACAATAGGCTTAAAGGAAAAGTAAATCGTCTAGAAAACGTATAGAAAGAAAAAGGAAAATAAATATGAACTCATGGAAAAAGCAAAAAAAAATGTTTCTTCTTTCTTTATTCGACCATATTTTTAGCAGGAAAAATCTATTGATACCGCTTTCAGATCATCGACACGACAATCATTCATAAGCGAAACTAGTTTTCTGAAAGAAATTTTTTTGCTATTATTATCACAACTCATTTATCTTAACTAGAAGGGTAATCTTCTTACTGAGGATTAAGAAAATTCACCTGTATCTAGCCAAATAATATTCATCATGCTCTCTGTTGTTTGCTTCAAATCAGCGACCGACTCTCCATAGTTATTTTTTATAGTCATATTCACTTGCAATTTCTTTAAAAGTTTACCAATATTGAGTTTTTGATACCAGTAAGCTAAATGCAGAGAAGCATTTCCATCTGATTGACGTTGTGCATTGATATAAAAATTCAATTCATTGACTGCATGTTCGATTGTTTTCAATAGACCCAGATGAATGAATTCGTGTATCAGTAAGGTCTTTTGTCTTGATTGTGGTATATACCATTGTTGAACTTCATCTACATCGAAGTTTTTCACTAAATGATCAAGTGTAGCAATGGTAGCTTGTTTATCATCAATTGTCATCGACAACAAGGATTGAACTCCTCGATCATTCGATGTTCCTATTTTGCTCATCATCCAACCTGTAGTATTTTGCTTGATTCGAAATATGAAGTTATAAGAATAAAAGAACTTATTATGTAGTTAGATCTAAGTAGAAAAGAACAAAGAAATAATATAGCGGCGGATGGCAGGAGCTCTCATAAGCAGAACTTAAGAATTATGTATCTTCTACATTTATCACTCTTCATTCATCAAACATATAGGGTGTGGGTGTGAGTGTGAGTGCAGAAGAAGGCACAACACGGAGATTCACATCCACACTCACACCCTGAAGAATAATTCAAGTGATAATGAGTTTATATGATTGCCACTAAATTAAAGAACCGAATCGAATACCGTCGAGTAAAGAACGTTTTTCAATTCTCTGTAGAAGTTATATTAACTAGAGAATAAATTATTTCTGCTGCTTGGGTTAGTCGATAAAAAATTGTCATCTTGATCTTTAAAGAAGCTAATTTCAGGAAATGTTCATAATCACGATGAACCACATCGATTCGATCAAAAAAAAAGAAACATCTATGAGAAATCAAAGAGTAAGATCAAAATAGAAAAGACAACCTCTGATGAATAAAATGAATAGCAAGTAGCGGTATGTGTTTATTCTCATCTATAAAATAAGATGGGAATGAAAAACAATTAATCTAATGGCACATTTTGCAATCTTTTACGAATAATTTCG